CTGTCTGTTGTTATGTTCGTTTGTATGATGGCGGTGTTTTTTTTTGTTATTGAATTGACGATAAACTTGTTGAACGTACGGGAAGCACCTTGAAATTTCTCGCGTTGTACGCGTTAAAACTATAGTGTTTTGTTGTTGTTATTATTATTTTAATAAATGTGAGAGAGTGTTTTTCCTTTTGTTGTTGTTGCTGTTGTAGTGGCCAACGTATCTTTATGCGGACATAGTGTTTTTTGTTTTACATTAGTATTATTTACAACAAAATTATATTAATAATAATTGATTTGCAATATTGTCTAGGGAAGTTCTGATATGTGTATATATGTGCGTGCATACGCTCCACTATGTTGCGAGTTCATATAACCAACGGCCAAAAATAGAAGGAGTTATCGTAGGTGGTTGAAATTTAGTACAAGTGCTTATTATTTGCCTAAAGAGCAACAGACAAAACATTGAATAGATCGTACCAAGATTTGGTATAACTCCCATATGGTGGGTCTTGAGAATTTCACCCTTTGTGCCTATAAAATCATTAATTTTCAACCAAATTCTAAGTCCCTATATATCTCTCGATTTGCACGAAATTTGGCACAGCGCATTTAATTAAGTATAGAATTATGTGTGTCAGGTTTCGATTTAATGTAAATGCAAAATCCCTATATATCTTTCGATTTGGATATTTCGCATAGTGTATTTAGTCTAGTACGTGTGTAGCTCGAGCAAATCGGTATATATACCGATTTAAGGTAAATGAGGCACCAAAGTGTATATATATCTTTAGATTTGCACGAATTTTGGTATAGCGCACTGAATTAAGTCGAGAATGATAAATGATAAGTTTCGTGAAAATTGGTTCAGATTTAGATATAGCTGTCATATATATTTTTGTCCGATTTTATGTAAATGGTTCACCAAAGTTCCTTCATATCTTTGGATTTGCACGAAATTTGGCATAGCGCCCTGAATTGTGTCTGGAATGATGTGTGGTAAGTTTCGTGAAAATCGGTTCCGATTTAGGTATAGCTCCCGTATATATTTTCGTCCGATTTTATTTAAATGGTGCACTAAAGTCCCTGCTTATCTTTGGATTTGCACGAAATTTGGCATAGAGCACTGAATATACAAATATAATTGTTCAGAATACAATTATTCTGATCAATTATTTTCTGTTTTGTAATTATTTGGGCCCTTAGCTTGGTTTATACCCTCCCCCTCATCATAAGGTGGATTGTCTATTTAGGCATACCGGTCTGTTCAAATGACGACAAACATCACAATCTTGAGTAGATATGCCTTCAGGCTGAGGTGCCCCGTCAGAATACCCGTCAGTCGGTTTATTTCTTTTTTGTTTAGCGTTAGGATTTCCTTAGTTTTGTCTTCACTTGGGCCACACCATAAGATTTTTCCACAAACATTGTCACGATAATTAATATTTGAAAATGTGAATTTTTGTTTTCTATGAATTTACTTTCTATTGTTCTGTTGTTGTTCTCTATTTTTTTTTACTTTTTTTATTATTTTAACTATTTAATAAAATATAGATATTTATTACATTCTATATTCATGCTGCTGCCACAGCTGGAGGAGGCTTATGTTGACGTTTTTTTTTTCTCACTCTCTACCATCTGGTTTACCTTGATTAATTGCAAAAATAAAAAAATATATATTTCTATTTGCAATATGAATGCTTAAAAATAATTTATTTAAAGTGCAATTTCATTTGATATCAATTCATATTCTACAACAACAACAAAAATATTTATTTATTTTAAGGAGTGCCGCCGCCATATGAAAACAGTTTAGGAGAAATTACTTGGCAGATTAATGGATAAATGTTGTTCTAGCCATAGTTAAAAATCTAACGAAAAGGTTAGATTATATTTTTTAGATGAAAGGAAAGGAAAGGATTTCAAGTCGATTTTCTCTATTCATTTTTTTTTAATGAACCTTTAGGCAACTTTTAATAGTATATTACAGCGATTAATTAAAAAATAAATTAAAATGGTTTTAATACATTTTATAATTAAATTATTTTTATATAAATAAGAAATTATTTTAATAATTATTTATTATTAAATTATTGGTTTATCTGAAAAGAAAATACACGTAGAATGTTTTACAAAATTTAAGTAGAAAAATGTTTCTACAGTCTTTACATTTTCTTTTTTTTATTTCAAAAAACTTTCTATTTATATGCCTAACAATTACGCATTTTATCTATAATAGATATTTATTTGTAGTATATGTAAAAACGAATTGAAGAAAATTCATTTGTGAGGGTCATTGATCAGAACCGCGGGTGTACATTTTTATGTTTGTAAATATTATTATAAATATAGATTTTAAAGTATACTTACATATGAGGTTGTCCCATAATAATCTTCTACGCAACGCTATGAATGAGTTTGACTGGCTATGCTTACATAAAAATGGAAGCTTATCTCTTAGCCGTTTATAGCATCAGTTTCAGTCGTCCCAGAGCTCTTCCAAAGTACGTTTCGTTGGTGACAAAGTCTCTTTTTAAAATTGTTTCTGCCCCGTTCAATATGGAGAACCAAAAGAAGCATTTACGGCATGTTATGCTTCATTACTTTAAAGAAGGCAATAGTGCAAAGGACACAGCAGACGAGATTTCCACCGTTCACGGGGATGGTGGTACTACGACCATTAGGGCAGTCCGCCATTGGTTTAAGAAATTAAGAGTCGTCAATTTGGATTTGCAAGACGAAGGCCGCAGCGGCCGCCCAATAACGACTGATGCGGACCTTTTTCACACGAAAATTTGAAAACCTCGATATTTTTTGTTGATTTCTCTGTAAGTAAAAGTACAGTTACATTGTACTGGATTTAGTGAGTCCATTATATCTAAATTGTGAATTTCATTGTACCGGTAGCTCCTATCCATTCGGTAGTTTCCTGAATAGAGCTTTAAAATTTTAAATATGGACCCAAATTTCTGGGTATTTTGGGTATCTTTAACACGCTTTTCAATCGAATTGGCTGTAATTTGGTATTTTGGGTTCCCATTGCATAATAGATATCTTTACCAAAAATTATTAATATTGACTCGCGATATTCGGCATTTTGTGGATTTAGAAAACGTTTTTCAATCGAAATGACTGTAATTTCGTATTTTGGGATCTCATTGTATAACACATACCCGTACCAACTATTATTATTATTTACCTATGTTTCAGGATAGCCCTCCTATAACGTTACTCTCCAATATTCGAAATTTTCGCACACTCTTGTACTAAAAATGGTTAATACTGTCCCAAGTGTGAGGTGTACCGCCACATCTTCGTACTAAAAATTATTTGGTATTGACACAAGTCGGTATTTTGGGAATTTTTTGGTATTTTGAATTCTCATTGGCTGTCAAATCGAACTACCACTATTGGGTTTTTATATCCTACACCACACTGTGATACACGGTATTATGTCTTTGTGCGTATGTTTATAACAGGTAGAACGAAACGATGTAAACACAGGGTTCCTTTTGAGAATACACATTCTGACTTTATATATTCATGTCCGTTCGTCCGTCTGTCCATGTATTTTCGGGAACAAAGTGCAGGTCGCATTTATGATACGAATTGGATGAAATTTGGCACAGGGCACTTATTTGCTCTAAGGACGAACCGTATTGAAATTGGAGAAAATCGGTTCAGTTGTAGATAATGCTCCCATATATATTTTCGTTAGATTTTATGTAAATGGTGCACCAAAGCCTCTATATATCTTTCGATTTGCATGAAATTTGGCATAACGTACAGAATTAAGTCTAGAATGATGTGTAGTAAGTCCGATTGAGTCAACGTTTTGCCTAGCGTACTGAGATAAGCCCAGTTTGATTTCTGTGATGTTTTGTTGAAATCGGTTCGGATTTACATATAGCTCCCATATATATTTTCGTCCGATTTTAGATAAATGGTGCACCAATATTTGTCCGATTGAGACAACATTTTTCACATCGTACTGAATTAAGTCCAGTTTTATGTCTGTGAAGCTTTTTTGAAATTGACCCGGATTTAGATATAGCTCCCATATATAGTTTCGTCCGATTTCACATAAATGGTGGACAAAACTCCCAATATTTGTCCCATTCTGACAAAATTTTGCAAAGCGCACTTAATTAAGTTCAGTTTGATGTCTGTTAAGTTTTGTTGAAATCGGTTCAGATGTTGATATAGCTCCCATATACAGTTTCTTCCGATTAAATTCGCACAGCATACTGAATTATGTCCAGTTTTTTGTTTTAAAAAATTAGGTTTTGCAGAAAGTTGAAACATTTTTATATCACTCCTATGCGGACCAAAGATTACATCCGACAATCTTAAATGAAATACAAAAGTTATGCGTATTTTATTTATTTTTTTTTATTCCATGTTAAAAACGTCAATCTTAATATACCGGTCCAAATGGTTAAGGTTTTTTGCATAAACCTTCTCCTCCTCCACCACCACCTTTCCTCTCAGCGATTTGTGGTGGGACAATGCAATTTGTTTGCAGTGCACCATATATTATCGAAGTTGTTGTTGTTGCTTTGTTTGCTTTCAAAATGTTTGTCGTTGAGATTGTTGTTGTTGTTGTCACCAACAATCTGGTTGATCGGCTAGTCATTCGATTGACTGGCAGGCAGGCTGGTTAATGCACAATGCATTGTGCAGTCCCAGTCAGTCAGCTACCCAGCCACAGAGTAGAGATAGAGGATGGAAGCAAGACAACCAATAAGTGGCGGGTAATCAGGTCGTTGGCATTGATGCAAGTCATTGAGTCAAGGTTATTTCCGTGAAATACACCAACTATGATTTAACGCAGCAACAAAAAACAATCGAAAAAATATAAAAACGTGAACGCGTATGTGCGAATAAATGACATTATATCGTTTTTGTTGTTGCTGCCTGCATTCGCTTTTACTTTGGTGGCGTACAATTTGTATGTGTGTGTGTTTTCGAATTTTATTTTAATTTTGTTTTTCTGTGTGTTTCTCCTTTCAGATGGCAGTCCCATGTTACGACAGGGTGACACTGGCGATTGGGTTGGCACTTTCGAGGGTCACAAGGGAGCTGTCTGGGGTGTAGCTCTCAACAAAACTGCCACACTGGCGGCCACCGGTGCTGCCGATTTTACCGGAAAAGTATGGAATGCCATAACGGGCACCGAAATTCATAGTTTCCAACACAAACACATTGTCAAGTCGGTGGGTTTCGACAGCAGTTCGGAGAACATTGTCACCGGCAGCAATGAGAAGCTGGTGCGTGTTTTCAATTTGGAACAACCCCAGGCGGAACCAGAAATGTACAGCGGCCATGGTGGTGCCATAAAGCAGGCACTGTTTTGCCGCAACGACAAATGCATTATATCGGCGGCCGAAGATAAAACTGTACGACTGTGGGATCGTTTGAGCGGCAATGAGGTACAGCGTCTAACATTCCCCAATAATCCGAATAGTTTGGAAATATCGGCTGACAACCACATTCTGACCGTGGCCCATGGCACCAGTATTAGTTTTTGGGATGTGGAGACACTGAAGAAACTGAAAGAGGTTAAGGTGCCGACAAATGTCTCATCGGCCAGTTTGCATCCGGACAAGCATGTGTTTGTTTGTGGTGGTGAAGATTTTAAAATGTACAAATTCGATTATATAACGGGCAATGAAATTGGTAAGTGATTTGAATTTGATATATGAGCCACATGATATTCATTTTGTTTCCCCTTTACAGAATCCTTTAAGGGCCATTTCGGTCCCGTCCATTCGGTCAAATTTAGCCCCGATGGCGAGTTGTATGCCAGCGGGTCGGAGGATGGTACTCTACGTTTGTGGCAGACAACGGTGGGCAAAACCTATGGCCTTTGGAAATGTACCGAACCCAATGATCTAAACAATTCCCTGAATTCTCCTCGCGAAGTACAAGCAAATTAATTGTACTCATCATTGTCGTTATAAAAAAACAAAACAAACAATTCGCCTCGTATTATATTATTGTCATAATTTTGCCCATAAAAATTCAACCCATTGATTATCTTTTTTCTCAATTTTCTTTCGGAAACATAGTAAAGTATTTAAAAAAAAACTCATAAATTATGATCACTTACTGCTGCAAACCCATAAAATTTACTATGAAAGGAAATTTGGGAAAAAAAACGACGAATCCATAAAACTCTGCTATCTCGTATATTTTAAGATTTATATTTCAAGTAAAAAAACAAACAGAAATTAAAAAAAATAACAATAATATTTGATTAAAATATTAGAAAAGTAAAAAAAAAGTTGTGTTCCTATTATTTGGTAAATTGTAAAAAATCCAAAATGTTCAGCCGAAGATGTTGTAATTTGGAATTCCGGATGCTCAAAGGGTAAACAAATCTTAATATATAAAAGAGCTTAGTGTTAAGTGAAGCGGCTGAAGCTAGAAGCATGAAATTTTGACTGTGGTTTGTTGTTGGTTTATTGGCGTGAGATAAGGTTGGGTTTTTAGAAATTCGCTGATGGAAAGTTAGGCAGATGTACAAAAGTGTTTTTGGAAATTCGACCTATAAAGCCAATTTTTTGAAAATGGAATATTAAAAAATTGGCAATATTGCCCATATATTGATCAAATATGGCTAGGTTTGGGTATGTGCAGTCACTTATGTGGCTGCAGCACTCGGAGACCGTAAGGTCCATTGTGATCATCCATGAAAAGAAAAAGATATGGAGAGATCTGTGGGGAAAAAAAGGGGGGATAGAGAGATGAGAAGCTTACAAGGAAGTGTCGAATACTACTTGAGGACGGCCTCAGATTTGATGTAACAAGATTTGATGGCTTTAAGAGCCGCCTGACTATCCACAAAGAAAGTCAACGGTTCAACGATCTCTGCATCTAGACTTTTTATCAATTCCGCTGCCTTCCAAATAGCGAAGATTTGCTATCCAGCTTGTAGGTAGGCTCAAGGCCTAGCCTTTCATAGTAGACGCCAGCCCCTGTACATTCTCCCATCTTGGATCCGTCTGTATAGAAAGACAGACCGTCCAGAGGAGGGTTACTCCGATTCCAGTCGTTTCTACCCCCGTTTCGTTTCTCCTCCCAAGAATTTGCGAATATACGAAACAGCACGTTTGTAATGCTTCGCATCAGATACTTCTCGTGGATTTCCGACCTTTGAGCCGCTGTCCGTTGCTGGGGTTTCGATAGACTCCCCATCGTCGGACATAGCCTCTGTCGCAGCTTGGCTCTGAAGTTTATTGTCGGTAAGTGCCGACACAGGACCTGTTGGAGTCGGACTTGAAGTCGGTCGTTCAACAAGGTCCACTCCTCCTTCGTTAAGGGTCCCGTGTAGTTCGTCCCCTTCCAGAACTACAGTTGTGTCAGTCATGGACAGATTTCCATCAGTCTTGACTTGCTCGTTTTCCAATTGAATTGTCGGTTCGTCAACGTTATCCGGGTTTGAAATTGATGCGCTTGTAGCAGATACAGCTGCAGGTGCCAAGGCATCCACATCTAGAGCAGCCTGATCACAATCGCTTGATCTCGACGACACCTGGCTTGTGATATTAACTCCCTGCACCGTAACTTTATTCCTTTTATTCTTCTTAACCATCGTAGTTTATTAATTTAAGGGCACTACCCCGATCCATTTTGGTCCACGGGGGATCCAGAGATCCCCAAGGTTTCCACGAAGTGCAGAGAAGAGTTGACCTAGGACAGTTTCACCCTGCATATCATGGAGACCCCCTTCCCATCCGCCATCAGGGAAGACGCGCCTAGTAGGAGATTGCCAACTCCTAGCTATATTGAACACATATAGCTGGAATCTTAAAATTTTTAGTAAATACAAGTTGAGAAGTGGTAATTGGTTTTAGAAATTCGTACTTATGGTACTAAATTTGGAGTACAGGATTGCGGTAGCTTTAAAAAAACGTGCTTATGTGTACGAAAGGTACTAAATTTCGTACAAGTTGGATGTAGAGATGGAGTCTTGAAATTGGAAATTAAAATGACTGTTGGAGTATTGAATTGAGGTAGTTTAGGAAATTCGTACTTATGGTTGCGAGAAGTACTAAATGGTACTAAATTTAGTACAATTTGGATTTAGAGTCAACGGATAGACCTGAAACCCTAAAATTTTGAATTAAGATTACTGTTGAGGATTGAGTTATAGAGACAGCTTTGGAAATTAGTATTTATGTGTACGAAAAGTTCTGAACGGAGTGTAAAACTGAGATATGGATGCATAGTACATATCTGCACTATGTGGTACTATATTTGGTACAACTTGATTTTGTGTGAACGATAGAACTGTATTCCAGAATTTTGGAATTAAAATTGCGGTTGGAGTGTAGGATTGAAGTAGTTTAAAAAATTCGTAATTATGGGAACATAAAATACTAACTGAACGGATAGGGCGGAAATTTGGAATTAAAATTACTGTTGGAGAGTAGGATTGATTAGTACTTTCGGCCAAGAAAAGTGCTAAATGGTACAGTTTGAGACCCTGAAATTTGGAATTGATTTGCTATAAGGAGGCAATTTTGAAAATTCGTAATTATTTCTACTAAGTGGTACTAAATTTAATACAATTTAGATTTGAGTGAACGGATAGAGATGGAAAACTTAAATTTTTAATTAAAATTACAGAATTAAGCAAGTATTGGAATTTCGAACTTTTGGATACGAAAAGCTTTAAATTTTACTAAATATGGTACAATTTGTTTTGTGTGAACGGGCAGGTCGGGAATACTACAATTGGATTGAGACATGGTGCTAGTTTTGAACATTCGTAATTATAAGTACTAAATCGTACTAAATTTGCTACACTTTAGATATGAGTGAACGGATAGAGATAGAAAACATATATTTGAAATTAAAATTACTGTTACAGTACAGGACTGAGGTGGGTTTGGAAATTTGAACATATAAGTACTAAATGGTACTAAATATAGGTTTTTGGAAATGCTATCCGGAGGAGTACGAAAACTACTGAAACGTATTAAATATGGTACACACGAGAAGAGGTAAAATTCTGAAATATGGAATGTGGATCACTGACGGAGAGTTAAAACGAAGTACCAAAGCTTTTTGGTACTATCCAAAGGGTTTGGGTATTAAATTTAGTGAAATTAGAAGTACGATTGATATATAGAGGTAGCCTTGAAAATGTGTACGAAATTTCATTTGTACGGCCACAATTTCCAACTCTATCGATTCTCAGCAACAGTCCCCTGGCCACAATTCGGAGTACATTATTTTGAGTAGTTTGCAAGGATCTTCACTGTGTGGAAGTCCACGGAACTCAATGTAGGCTTCAAGTGATCAAGCGCCTTGGACAGATCTAAATCTGACATAATAGTCCGTTTAGGTGATCGTCCTTGTTGTGCTATATGTTTCCCTAAAACCATATTGGTGGGTAACAAGAACAAAATGCCGTTTCCGACACGGAAGCATTAATAGCGGATTTATCTGGGTTTAGAATTAAAATAATCCAGACAACATTCCAAGTATCGTCTGACCGACGATTTTGGTCAGATAAACCATCCCTATTGCTGCAAGCTTCCTTAACATAAACATGGAAATGCCGTCTGGATCAAGGGCTTTGGATGGCTTGGATTTTTAGATAATTGCTCTATATCTATGGATGTGAACGATAGGGGTTGGCAAGTCTCGTTTAAAATTCTTACACCTCCGTATAATTTCTCGCTTTTCTGGATGTTATTGAAGTTAAATGAATCTTGCATCTTATTCCACGCCGAAGTTACATCAATCATGGTTCATAGTCGATTGACTCTTAGCCATTTCAAGAGAAAACACTGCAACTAAAACAAACATATTTCTTTTTTATTTTTAAGAATTACTAAAAATTAACATTGATTTTAAATGCCTTTTCTTTCCTCTCAAGAAATTAAATATACATAAATTAAATGAAAATAAGTTACAGTAGTTCACACATTGATGTCATTGATTTGTGATTACAAAAATACATTATTAATAAATTCAGTTCTTTAAAGATGTGTACCAGTTGCCCAGCCATGCAAATAGATTGTGGTGAAATTCAATAGCTCGGCACCTTGACGAATTTCGGGAATTTGTTGCAGGTGATCAAACCAACGGGATAGATTCAAATAGTGTTCACGATCGATCGGTGATAGGGATTTCTGAAATTATAGGAAGAAAGAAAATAAATAAACAAATCGGATTAATACATTAGAATTTATAAGAAAAATACAAAAAATAAAACATTAAGTGGATTTTTTAAAGAGTATTTTTTAAATGGCCAACAAGGCGTGGATTTTTTTAAGAAACAATTTACAAAGGCCAACCAGTCGGGGATTTTTGAAAGAAAACCAAGAAGGCGTGGATTTTTATGGAATATTTATTTTTTTAAAGGGCCAACAAGGCCTGGATTTTTTAAAAATTATTTTTTTCAAAGGAACAAGGGCTGGATTTTTTAAAAAATATTTTTTCCCAAGGATCAACAAGGCGTGGGTATTTTAAAAATATTTTTTCAAAGGACCAACATGGCATGTTATTAACGGAATATTTTTCAAATGACCAACAAGGCGTGGAATTTTTTAAAGTTTTTTTTTCAAATATTTCTTTCAAAATTCAAACAAGGCGTGTTCTTAACGGAATATTTTTCAAATGACCAACACGGCGTGATTATTTTAAAGAATATTTTTTTCAAATGACCAAAAAACTTGGATTTCTTTAATATTTTTCAAAGGATCAACAAGGGTCAACATGGCGTGGATTTCTTAAAGAATATTTATCAAAGGGCCAACAAGGGTCAACAAGCCGTGGATTTCCTATCGAATATTTTTTCAAAGGGTCAAATAGATGTTCATTTTAAAAAGAATATTTTTTAACGGGTCAACAAGACAGAATATTTTTTTATTTTACAAAATATATTTTCATCATGGATTGGAGTCATAACTAATATTTTTAATGGTTACCACACATCATTCTATACCTAATTCATTACGCTGTGCTAAATTTCGTGCAAATCGATAGATATATAGGGACTTTGGTGCACTATTTACCTAAAATCTGACGAAAATATATATGGGAGCTATATCTAAATCTGAACCGATTTTCAGGCAATTTAACACACATCATTCAATACCTAATTCATTACGCTGTGCCAAATTTCGTGAAAATTGAGAGATATATAGGGACTTTAGTGCACCATTTACATTAAATCGGACGAAAATATATATGGGAGCTATATCTAAATCTAAACCGATTTTTCCCAATTTCAATAGGGTTCGTCCTTGGGCCAAGTAAGTGACCTATGCCAAATTTCATCCAAATCGGATAATAAATGCGACCTGTACTTTGTTCACAAAAATACATGGCCGGACAGACATGCGTAAATCGACTCAGAAAGTGATTCTAAGCATATTCTCAAAAGGAACCATGTGTCTATCTCGTTTCCTATTGCCTGTTACAAACATATGCACAAATACATAATACCATGTACCACAGTGTGGTGAAGGGTATAAAGAGTGTAAATTTGTTAAGAAATGAGCCGAGTACTTTTGACAAATATTTTTTTAGATCATACACTGGCTGTATGTGACGATCGTTCTCCCCATTCTTACATATGGTTGCCTTGTTTGATGGCTGGGGGTCAACAAAAATATGCTACTGACAAAATTTAATTTTATTACAGCGATCGACTTCAATCCTGATCACCGGAGCGCTAAGAAGTACACCACAGGCAACCTTGAATGTAATCTTGAATCCCCAACCACTGGACATTCTGATTAAATTCCAGGCGGCCAGGTGTGCTCTGAGGCTCCGAGAAACGGATGCCTGGAAATCGCTGAACTATGGTCACGCTAGTATCCTAAACATAACGCCAGGTTGTGACCTCTTGAGAGGAAATAGTCATGTTAGTGATAATGTTTCCTCTCACGGAGACTTTAATGACATCTAAGTAGAGTTTCCTAGTAGGGAATCCTGGACTAATGGCTCCTTATCTCTGCCAGGTCTGTCATTCTTTACGGACGGGTCAAAGATGGAGGAAGGCACTGGTGCAGGTGTTTACTGTAGGGAATTAGAAACATATAACTTATATAAACTTAACAATATTTGTAGCGTATTTCAAACAGAAATCCTTTCCATCACGAAAGCGGCCGAGATGGTAAAATCACTTACTGCCGACATTACGGAACCGGTGACTATATATGGCGATAGTCCCTTAACGCGGTCAAGTCGTGTACTATAAGCACAAAAGCAGTTCATGATTGCAAGTCCGCTCTGACTGATATACGACAGATAATTAACTTATGTTGGGTTAGAGGACATAGTGACGACAGATAATTAGCTTATGTTGGGTTCGAGGACATAGTGACATTGATGAGATAACCGACGAGCTTGCTCGAGGGGGTTCACAATCCAATCTTCCGATTGAAAGATCGGCGAAACCACCCATTGACTATTCTACTGCGAGGTATTCTCTCGCATAATAAGAGAGAGAGATCAAAATCATGGTGGGGATCATAACAGTCACTGCAAGATTAGATCTCTCACTTTGAAGTGGGATCCTGCGGAGAGGATTACTGTCGTCTATGTGAAGACGAAGAAGGCCTAGAAACAATTGAACAAAACCTCTGTAAATGTCCATCGCTGATTGGCAGAAGACATTAACAGTTTGGAAGATATGAAATTGATAATCTAGCCTTCTTCTCTAAAATAGACTCCAACCAGATCCTAGGCTTTCTCAAAAATCTGACATGGCTAAAATGATCATTTCACGGCTCTCCTTCTCTCACTATATTTTTCCTTGCTCTTCCACTCTCTCTTCTCTTTCTCTTTGCAGGTATAAAAAAGGATGATCACAATAGTCTCCGAGTGGACGGTTGTTACTAACAACCGTACATCCCTAACCTAACCTAAATCTGATCCCAATGAAAATTGCTTAATGTAAACCAAATTTGAAAAAACAACTATATTAGGAAAATTCGTTAAACTTTTGGCTACCAAAAATACAATCACTTCGGTACAAAAATGCCACCAACACATTGATAATTAATCTGATATCATCCTAAATTTAGACTTTCTCCTATGAGTATATAAAGCATGGCATATGTATATGGCTATACAGGGCAATTTTTAAATAGAAATATCGTTGTTGAATTGCGTGCACACGGATGTATGATCTTTTATGTGGATTTTTGGATTTCGGCAAGGAAAGTAATAAGGGACACACTGACAAACATTTGAAATAACCCGAGATCATGATTTAAACATGACATTAGTCCAAACTCACTATTTAATAATTTGAGATTCCTTTTGTTGCCAAGCACTTACTACTTTACATTATTGTATAATTTGAAAACTCTGAAATAATCCCTTTCCAATTATTACATAATATTCCAATGGATATCCATAGTGGTCGAGGTATGACTTAAACTAAATTCCTATGTTAGCATTTAGCCATTTTTAGTTGTTAGTTGATGATTTCAGTTGATGTCACTCTATCAGTAAGGACTAACACATTTCCTTACAACCTTTACACATCCTTTACACAAAATTTGTCATGTGTTTGCATGCAAACGAACCATAACTTCTATGAGTCTACGATGAATTGTTTTTGTTCTTCTATAAAATAAACTTAGAGTCCAAGAATTTTTAAAAAATATATAAATTAAAGTATTAAAAGATTATATCCCATTTACTTACCATTAAATCATAGATGGCATAGAATACCGCCAAATCAGCCAGCGTTAATGAATATCCAACCAAATACGATTTACTTAAAAACAATTTGTTAAAATCTCGCAACATTTGCAGCGAACAGTGTCTATCTTTAGAACCAGGTGCCACATAGAGGACAGCGTATTCAATCCATTGGTAGACTTGAACTTCAATTTCCCGAGAACTGCAACTGTTTTTGGCTATGTCCGATTGTGATTCTTTAACAAAATTGCTAAGAATTGTGGCAAATCCAGAGACGGATTTATTATTGAGTATGCGTGTCACGACCTTCGATTGGCGAAGAAGAAAATAGAAAAGACGTAGACATCATCACATGAATTGCGTTAAAGAAAGGTCAAGGTAAAATTAATTAAGGATATGTGATAATATCGAAATAAATTCTACTAACCTGCTCATCATTTAATTGGATTTTGCCACTGGGTACTTTCAGACATTTGGCAATTTTATTAACTGTCTCAACTTCACACATTTTTTCGGGGAATTTTGTAGGATCTTCTTTGCTATTGGCTATGGCAAGGCAATTGTATTATTTTTAGAGTTGGGTAGTTCCGGAACGAACTAGTTCATTGGAACTATTCCGAGAAAGGAACGAACGGAACTAGTTCCAGTTCTTTAATTTAATTAATATAATTCCTTTCTCTGATCCAGTTCCTTTTTTGAACTATTTGAAGCAAAGGAACTATAAAGACAAATAAATGTCAAAAATGTTGTTGAGTGTTGAAACTATAAAAAACAAAATTATAAATGAAAAGGAAAAACTACTTTTGGAGCATAGGAACTATAAAGAGCAAAGGAACTATATATGGAGCAAAGGAACTAAATATGCAAAAACGAAAAAAAAAAAAATAATAAAAGAGAGAGAGAGAGATTCAAAAGAACAGTGGGAAGCCTCCAAGACTCCAGCCTTCATAAAATTCGCTTGTTAATCGTCGTTCTGCCAAGATTCAAGCGACGTCGTACGCAAACCTTCGCCAACAAATGGTCTGTTCCAGTACTTTTTATACCCTCCACCATAGTATGGAGGGTATATTAATTTTGTCATTCCGTTTGTAACTCATCGAAATATGCATTTCCGATATATTTTTGATTTTAAAACGATCTAACCATGTCTGTCCGTCTGTTGTAATCACGCTATCTTCTGAAGGAATTGAGATAGGGTGCTGAAATTTTGCATAGGGTTGTCTTTTGTCTGCAGGCAGGTCAAGTTCGAAGATGGGATATATCGGTCCACGTTTAGGCATAGCTCCCATATAAGGGTACCCCCCAATTTTCGGTATTTTGGGGTTCTTGAGCGCGTTTTTCAAGCGAATTTGTAGAAAATTTATCCACAAAAAATTATAAATCCACTTTTTCTTGTAGCCCCCATATAACGGTACCTCCTAATTTTCAGTATTTTTTGGGTTTTTATGGTATTTTTCACCGAATTGGCTGTAATTTAGTATTTTGAGTTCTTAGCAGGTACCAAATCTCTCCACAAAAAAATTTAAATATAGGTCAATTTTTTCGGATATCCCCCATATAAGGGTACCCCCAATTTCGGTATTTTGGGGTTCTTGAGCGCGCTTTTCAACCGAATTCGCTGCAATTTTGTACATTGGGTTCATATTGCGTACCAAATATCTCTACTAAAAATTATAAATATCGGCCCACTTTTTCTGGTAGCCCCCATATAAGGGCACCCCAAATTTTCGGTATTTTGAGGTTCTTAAGCGCGATTTTCAACCGAATTCGCTGCAATTTTGTACATTGGGTTCATATTGGGTACCAAATATCTATATTTAAAATTATAAATATCGGTCCACTTTTTCATTTCAAATACCTGTCAGTATACCTGTGATGGAGGGTATCCAAAGTTCGGACCGGCCGAACTTAACGCTTTTTCACTTGTTTAATAGTAAAGCTAGTAAAAGGGAAACATTTCAACTCTCAGAGTACAAAATAATTTGAAAAGTTCGGGAACGCAAATCTAGTAAATATGCCAAAATTAGATGGCAATACTTCAAAATCAACATAACAAAAAGTTTACAAAGAGAAAGCCATTTTGTTTTGTGCTCTCTTAAATTTGATTCAATGCTTTACCTGTTTTATGGGTTCAGGAACGGTTTTCGAGTAAAAAGTAAAAAGTTGCAAAACTTGTAAAATTAGTAGATTCTTTTAGGTTTTGGAACGGAGCTAAAATAAAAACGACGACTGAAAAAATTGAAAAACGTTCCACCTGCTAACGAATGGGAGGAGAAGACAAAATGGCCGATAAAGATGAACTCAAAATGGTATAACCGAAAGTTTACGAATGAGGTGGGATAGAGACTAAATGGAAACCGTGTTGTTTACGAATGAGGTTTAGGCAAATTATGATTAGGGATAAGTAAATCGACTTTCGATTAATCGACTTTTTGTATTGAAAAGTCTAATGCCATGTACAGACGAGCGTTGTTCCCTCTCTCATTCGTGGTTCGACTCTTAATTATGAAGTAATTACATAGTTCAAAGGAACTACATTAAGGAACTAGTTCCTTTTTAAAAAAGAAACGAGAATGATCGATCCGCTATGGCAGGGTTCTATAAGTCCTATTTTGACTAATTTGCAGTGTTGCAAATTCGATATGGTAAAACAACATAGTTGGCAACGCCGTACTAAAGGAAACATGCGAGGAATCTGTAATTCGTTATGAATTTTGTAAAGCAATTATTTCTATTTATTTTGAAAGCAAGCTAATTTTTATTGATGTAAGTTGGTCTGCGTGCCATGGAAGAGATGGCATATTCGGTTTTAGAAAACTTTATTGCTTTGGCGGGGTGAATTACATGTTTTGGCCCAGTTATCATTTTTAGTGCATTAAAAGTATTTTTGCACGACGACATAACATCTTCGTAGTATTCCTTCAGCGAGAGATTATTTTTAATATTTAGTTTTGTCATTCCGTTTGTAACTTATCGAAATATTCATTTCCGACCCTATAATGTATATATGTATTCTTGATCAGGGTGAAATTCTAAGACGATCTGGCCATATCCATCCGTCTGTTGTTCGAAGATGGAATATATCGGTCCACGTTTAGGCATAGCTCCCATATAAGGGTACCCCCAAATTTTCGGTATTTTGGGGTTCTTGAGCACGTTTTTTAACCGAATTCACTGAAATTTGCTACATTGGGTTCTTATTGGATACCAAATTTCTCCACAAAAAATTATTAATATAGGTCCACTTTTTCTGGTAACTGCCATATAACGGTACCCTCTAATTTTCAGAGTTTTGGGGGTTTTGGTCATATTTTTCCACCAAATTGACTGTAATGTAGTATTTATTATTTAGTATCGTTTCTATGTGGTTGTTGTATTTTCGATAACATATAACGCGACGGATGGCTCAACGCGAGCATTCTGCTTAGCCCTTAACTGTACGGCAATTCGTACACGATGTAATAGCCTCAAGAAACATACACATAGAAATGGTTTTTCTGCAATGACACTTTTTATATTCAACCAGCAGCTCCGAAATAAAATCATGTGTACCTCATATCGACACAGTCGGTCCACATTTTTGGGTTTTGCGATTTTAGGACAAATCTCCATTAAAAATTGCTGAAATTTGTATTTGGTATACATTATAGTTTACAAAAACAATTGTTGGTATAGGTATACTTGTTGGTATGTTCCCCATATTTTCTTTTCAAGTAACTGTCAGTATACCTATTGTTGAGGGTATCCAAAGTTCGGCATGGTCGAACTTAATCCCCTTTTCTCTTGTTTCTAGGTTTAACTTTATAATAAGGGTACAAAAGAAGAGGCTTTCCGCTGTAGCATTTGATTAGCACTTTCGTAATCAAGCAGCTTTGACACGCAGTAAGAAGTCGCCCGCATACTGAAATATCTGTGTATTATCATCAGACAGTCCGTGGAGTCCTAAAGTGTTGGGCTTAAATAACTTCCCTGAAGAATTCCATTCCATTATTACTTTATTACTTAGTAAAATGTCCTATATGTAGTGATTTTTTACAACCTTAGTCAACACTATCCTTCTCCGAATTTCAAAACTGATGTCATTAGTTTTATTTATAGCGGTACCGAGTTTATCAACTTCGTCTTCCCACTGCTTACTGCCAAACACACTTTGGCAGACATCTTCTCATTTTCTTTAAAGATGACTGTTGCCGCTTGCAATGTTCGACGCATTCGATGTCGTCGACGAGTAACATGTGTTGTTTGTTGTACAGAGTGCAATTTTTGTTCACCTTTACCTCTAGTATGACGTTTTCCAGCAGGATGTTAAACAAGTCACACAGAGGCTTGTCTGAACTCTCTTGTGATATTGAAGGGTTCCGAGAGGTCCTTTTCGATTTAAACTGCTGATCTCTTGTCAGTTAAAGTTATCCTGCACATCAGTATTAAATTTGCTGGAATGCCGAACGCAGACATGGCTTTAACACCTATGAACGGATAGTGCTGTCGAACGTCGACGAATAGGTGAAATGTGCCGATTTGTTTTTCGTGGGTCTTTTCCAGGATTTGGCGCAGAGTGAAAATCAGGTCAATGGTTGATTTCCCATTGGTATGGTCCAATAATGTTTTTCTCTTTGTAACCGACCTTATTTGGACCTTATGGAAACTGTTCTGTTATTGGAAACGCAGCGTTACTTTTTTGCCAGTTTAGTTTATTTTTACAATTTGTTCTTTATTTTATTTATTTATACGTCGTATTATTTCCTGACATAAGGATTGCAACATATACATTTGAAATGGGAAAGTTATTTAAACTAAATACAAATATAACCACAATTTGAAAAAGTACATAGCAGTATTCATAGTTGGCAACGCTAATAACAATTAGATAAATATACCGTTGCCATTCGCTGAATTTGCCGCCGTCAATCTTGACTGCCGTTTGATGCCGTCGACATATACAAAAGCTGAGAGTTATGTGAAAGTAATTCTGTCCGTTAATGATATAAATAACAAATAAACACATATTTTGAATACTATAAGTATTTGTAAAATTAAATAAATAAAAGGTCTTAAAATAAAAAATTTTAGAAACTGAAAAAAATTTTCTCTTCTAATAAACTGTATGTATTGTTGTGTGTGTTTTTTGTTGTTGTGTGATTTTTAAATATTTTAAGCAATGCTTGGCTTTGCCGAATTAAACGTTTTTGTTAATGCTTCATATGTTATATCGTATTGTACCAAGAATATGAATAGTGTTGAGATTGAAATCAATAGCTGAAAGAAATTGCGGAAAACAAGGGATTATTTATAATTTCAATCAAACAATTTTTCCAGATGTCTACTCACCGAAGTAACGAAATTTAAATTTAACGCCAACATTCCACAAATAACATTGCTGCGAGTATCGGACATTAATTGAAGTATGAAATGACGAAACTGTAAATAAAAAAAATAAAAATAAGAAGAATGGAATTATATATTGAAATCTGTCGCTTGAACTAAGGTGATCAAATAACTGAGAATTCAACGTTAAAGACAAGCGACGAAAACAAAGCAGTCAAGGCCTACGTGATAGTCATTAAGAACTCAAGACGAAGACGTCATCTTCACTAATGATGAAGTATTCGGTACAGTAGCTCTGGAGTACGTTGTGTGACTACTAACTATGACTAACTACCTCTAAATTGCAGCCCTTCAACATCGATTTAGTAAAGAATCGAACAACCTCAAAAAGAATCGATTGCTAGGGCAGACAAAACAGTTTCCACAAAAAGCCGTAGACGGAGATGAAAGACAACTGCCTAGACCCTCGGAAAAACCTGTACACCGTGCGACCGCTGTACAGAACAGGTGCAATTTTCGTTTTGGCCCAAGAAGTACAAAACCAATATTATTGCCTTACAGGAAATGCGATGGAAAGGGACTGGCGCAAGTAAATCAGATGATTACGCCCTGTATAGCTGCCATGAGACGAGAGGTGAATTTGGTTGCCGATTTATTGTTAACAGGAGAATAAAAAACCTCGTCTCCAGATTCACTCCAGTAGATGAGCGAATTGCTATAATTCGTATAAAAGCGAAGTTTTTTTTCCTCAGTCTTATTTGCGCCCATGACCCATGACCAAAGACATATTTTACGAGCACCTATAAACTGCATATGACCGATGCCTTGGCCATGGAAAAAAAATTCTGCTAGGAGATTTTAATGCATAAATTGGAAGGGAAAATATTTTTGGTCCCACCGTCGGAAAATTTAGCATCCATTAAGAAACATCCAACAACGGCATGGGGTTGATTGACTTCGCGGCAGCAATAAACATGGTAGTTAGCAGCTTGATCATGTTGTGATAGACGGAAGGCATTCATCCAGTGTTTTAGAATATCGATTCGGACCACTACCTTGTAGCAGCTAAGGTTCGCAAAGGTGCGATCTAACACCACACGGAAATGTAGCAGCAAAGGTGCTGCTACCCACTTGTTAGTGGAATACTATCCTTATCCCGATAAAAATAGAAGCACAATGGTCAAGAATTGCCTACCCCCTACAAACTGCAGCAAAAAAACACTTGGGTGCCAAAAACCACCATCAAGAAAACCGTGGTACGATCAGGAGTTTCGTAATGCTACTGAGTTGAAAACGCAGCACCTGCAAAAAGTAGCAACACGTATTTTCGGAAAAAAAAGAAAGAACAAGAAAAACATGAGCGGTAGCAAATCGAGATGTGCAGGAGTCAGAATGAAGTCTGGAAATTTTACCAACGAGTAAAAAACCAAACCGAAGGCTTTGGTGCAGGCACAGATGAATATGGAAACCTGGTGATATATACAGATAGCTGTGTTGAGGATCTGGAAGCATTTTGCAAAATCTTCTGGTATCTGATGGCGGTAAAGAAGATACCCCAGAACCAATAAGAGATAATAGAGTGTATACCACCTTACCAAGATGAGGCCAGAGTAGCAATTAATCGGCTGAAGAACAATAAAAGAAACAGCAGATGCCGATGGATTACCTGATCACGAAAAACATATTCAAAGCCGATGAAGGTAAGATGCTGGTTGTAAAGCGTACACATTATAAAAATTTTGTTTAATAAAAATGTCTTAATAAAAATTATCCAAAATAGCCGCCCTTCGGCCGGGGATTTAAGACTTTCTCATATGGACAGCGGATTCGGCTACGCTATTAGTACAATTTGGCTAACGTATCAAATTTGGAAATCATTCTATGGACCACGCGATTAAAATTTCCTTTATATGATTGGAGCCGGCAGCGGGGATCCTGTGCCCCGTGGACAGATGAAAAAAGAGAAATTTTCTTTTAAATATGTGCCAACTATAGAGGAATTAGTCTCCTTCACATCGCGTATAAAGTGCTATCGCCAATTGTGAATGACATTACCAATGCGGCTTCAGACATTGCAAATCTAATATATTCCAGATTTTCACACTGCGCCAAATCCTGGAAAAGACTCACGAAAAACATATCCACACAGTTCACCTATTCGCCGACTATAAAACCGCATTCGGCAGTCCGATTCGCTCAGAGGAGCTTTAAGCCATGTCTGCAAAATTAATACAGGATAAATTTAACTAGCACAAGGTCAGCATTTAAAGTCGGAAATGACCTCTCGGAGCATAATGGGTCGAACATTGCGAGCGGTAACAGCCACCTTTGCAAGGAATTGTGAAGTAGTCTACCAAAGTAGGACTGATAGTAAATAGCGAGATGTCCAAGCACAAGACGTCCAGCAGATTCTGGCCAACTGTGGAACTTCAAAACTAAAGCTTTGAAGTAGTCAACGATTTAATATACCTCGGTACCGCCATAAATAAAACTAATGACATCAGTTTTGAAATTCGGGGAAGATGCTACTATGGTCTGAGTAAGCCATTTCAGAACAACGCCAAACTGACACTCTACAAGACGCTGATACTACCCCTATGAATCTGAAGCACGGATACATGCGCAAGCCGATGAGACAGCTCTTGGAGTGTTTGAGAGAAAAATTCTCCGAAAGATCTATGGGCCGATGATATGGTGAATATCACCGCCGAATGAACTATGAGTTATACCATCTTTTCTCGGACATCGACATAGTCATAAGTATCGAGCTGCAGTGACTACGGTGTTGTGAGAATTGATGAGGATGTTCCAGCACAAAAGCGAGCCAACTTATGGTTCACGCAGAAGGAGAATTTTTTAAATTTGAAAAAAACTGCTCAGTAGACCGACGCGACTGCAAATCTTTTTTAAGCTCGGCTTATGGAACAAATGTTGTTTTTTCGAGCCACCTATCATTTTTGTCTATGGTACTCTATGGAGTCGATTGTTTTCTCGGGATTTACTAAAAATATTTTTCCTAAGGTACTCTAAGGCGTGGATTTATTAAAAATATGTCTTACCGTTGGTTCCAAAGCTGCATTACCATATTGATAGGTACTCAGCAAATATGAGGCCTTAGTTTTCTGAAATTAATATCGAAAATTCAAATTAAGAATTAATTTCGAAAACAAAACACACATTTCCAATACTCACCCTACTTTGTATCTCTTCATTGTAGTACAAAATCAATGACATTTTTCCGATATGCATACAAGTCCATACCACCGAATATAGGGTCCATGCCAAATTCGAATTTTCCCAATTACTTAAATATTTGTAAAGAAGAAAAATGTTGATGCTAATATTGATAAATGAGCCCACATAGACCAGGATAATGGAATAGCAAAAATAATCATTCACATCTCGGGTAAATTCTTCCAATTTCGCATAGAGGGAGCGTATGAAATGTAAATCCCGACGAAAATCCAAATGATTTTTAGAGTTGTGAGACTTCTGTAGCAACTGATTTAGTAAATAGTATAACCAATCGGAACGTTCTGCTGTGAGGTATAGCAAGGCATAATACTGCACCAATGAGATGTGTATAATAATATTTGGTATCAGATACACGGTACTGGTCCTTAAGAAATTTAACCAGATGCCAAAGCTATAGAAGTAGCCCACAATCAGGGTGGTCATCAAGTGGGTGGCAATCAGTAGCAAATGCATACGTATGAACCCCTGTAATCCTTTCACGTATGACACATGAATTTTATGCCTCCACAAAATACGATCAAAATCGAGCATGAAATTATTAAATTTCCAATAGACATCACGTCTTCTAAATATGCGCAAAAGTATTTCCATCAAGTGTATTAAATAGACTAGATATTCACTGAAATACAGAGGTTTCTGTATTGTCGGCAATTCTATGTTCGACGAGGTATATTCATCGTAGACACACACAACCAAACCGCAATACATCCCAGCACACCACAGGAAATGCAAATAGTAGAGGAAGCGATCTTTGTTGGTTTCAATTAATTTTCGGGGTTTCTCCACCCCGACGGGGGCGCAGATAAAAAATTGTGATATCACCATGAGGTATTCCATTGTGCGATAGAGTTGTTTCTCCAAATATTGACGTTTCAAATCATCATTCTCATAATCGGCGAGGGTGCTATTAAATTTTTTCGCCTCACTTTGGAATTTGCTGCCATAGGAATACATTTTAAAATCTCTATTAATTTTATTGGACATATATTTGTTGTAATTTTGAGGATTTGAAAATGTACGCCTCCTTTATTCTCCGTCGATTGTTGAGGTTTTGATGGTTCGTTGATACGCTTTTGTCTATCATAGTTTGGAATTATTTCAATGCCATGGTGTTAACTGTCTACATGTGTGTGAGTGTGTGTGTGTGTGTGAGAGTGATAAATGTTTTTATAATTGGTCAGTTTGTAATTAATTATACTTAACGACGAGAGTAGTCAGCTGAGGTGTTATTGCTATTATATTTAACAGGTGGAACAGGTTATATAGCTTGTTGACATGTGAAAGGTTTTGCTTGTTAGAAGAAGTCTGATGGTGGGTGTTCCCTAACACCCTTTAATTTGTTCCTAAATTGAAAACATTTATGATGTTATATTTAATAAGAGAAGAATATATTGGAGAATTGGATTTCCTACTAGTGGAAACAAGAAGATTTTTTTGGAAAAATATATATTCAGATTTATATATAGCTTCCATAAAAACGCTACTTTAAAACGCTATATATGTATGTAAGAATAAATCCTAAATCACTATATAGAAAGGTTGAAATGGCGCACAGCGTCACGACCGCGGCCAAAAATGGACAAAACCAAGTACCACGGAGGACAAATTTTTTGATGAGGATTGATAGAAAACACTCCAATTAGAATAAATATGAAATTTTATATCGATATGTCGAGTAGTTTTGTCTCTACAAAGATTCAAATCTGATAATTATTTATAAACTGATTTTTTTACCATATTTTCGAAAAATGGGTGTGTTTTTCGGATGCTCAAATATTTGAATATTCAAATTAAGGGTTATTATAAAAGTGTTTATTTTGGTTGCTGTAAATATTAAAAAATAGGATTCGCTTTAGTTTGTATGTATATAGATATCATATGGTGTATACAGTCGTCCACACTTGTAGTACTTAGTTCATCAAATTTTTAAAACAAATTTTGAAATTAGTGGAGCAGAAAAAAAGTTTAGCTCTAATTATACCCTTCACCACACTGTGGTACAGGGTATTATGTCTTTGTGCATATGTTTGTAACAGGCAAAAGGAATCGAGATAGACCCATAGTTACTTTTGAGAATATGCATAGAATCACTTTCTGAGTCGATTTACGCATGTCCGTCCGTCCGTCCATGTATTTTTGTGAACAAAGTACAGGTCGCATTTATGATCCGATTTGGATGAAATTTGGCCCAGGGACGAACCCTATTGAAATTGAGAAAAATCGGTTCAGATTTAGATATAGCTCCCATATATATTTTCGTCCGATTTAAGGTAAATGGTGCACCAAAGTCCCTATATATCGTTCGATTTGCACGAAATTTGGCACAGCGTAATGAATTAAGCCTAGAATAATGTCTGCCAAGTTTCGTAAAAATCGGTCCAGATTTAGATATAGCTCCCATATATAGTTTCGTCCGATTTTATGTAAGTGATGCACCAAAGTCCCTATATATATTTCGATTTGCACGAAATTTGGCATAACGTACTTAATAGAGCCTAGAGTGCTTTATGCCAAGTTTCCTGGAATGATGTGTGCTGAGTTTCGTGAAAATCGGTTCAGATTAAGATATATATACATATATATTTCCGTCAGATTTAATGTAAATAATGTACCAAAGTTCTAATATTGCATAGATCGATTGATTTTAAGTAATTGACACACCAAAGAACCAATATATGATTGAAAGAACAAAACGTACTGAAATTAGTATAACCCAACCTGTGAAAAGTTTCGTTGAAATTGGTTCAAATTTTTATATAGATTCCACATATATTTTCATCTAAGGTAATTGGCGCTTTTAAGACCCTATATATCTTTGCACGAAATTTGGCATAGCGTGCTGAATTGCGTCTATAATAATGTGTGCAAAGTTTCATGAAAATCGGTTCAGATGTATATAAAGCTCCCATATATATATATATATATATAGTCGCCCGATTTTAGGTAAATGGTGCACCAAAGTCTTTGAAAATCATTCCATTTGCACGAAATTTGTCATAGCGTACTGAATTAAGTTTAGAATGACGTGAGCTAAATTCCGTGAAAATCGGTTCAGATTTAAATGTAGCTCCCATATATATTTTCATCCGGTTTTATGTAATTGGTGCATCGATAGGATACATCTTAGGATACATCTGTTGAATATACCCAAAGTGGTGAAGGGTATCATATAGTCGGTCCAGTCCGACTTTACTACTTTCCTTACTGTTTTTTTATTTAAGTGGTGTGTTATATAAGGAATAAAAAAATTAGCTGCGGAATCCAGCGGTCCTAAGAGTTATTTAACTTTTTTGGTGACCACCTTATGAAAAAATATGGCATATTCATGAAATGGTTAGAAGCGAATGATCAAATATGTTATGTATACAATTAAATAAATTATTGAGGGTCAAATAGAAAGGAGAATATGGATTCAGAACATAGTAATCGTACAATATTTTACATAAAATATGCAATTAAGTAGTAAAAACGTTATTCGAAGCGGATATATGGGAGAATTGGTTTTAAAATATACCTTTGAAATAAATTTTCAGTCAGTTTGAAGAGTATTCTTATTTATCAGATCATTTGAGACATAATACTATAATCTAAATTTAGAGGTCGCACATGAATTACCTTTGTGGAAAGTTCATACAGAAAAATATTAATTCATGGCATGGGATATGCAAAGTGCAGTACAATACCTTTTGAGCGACTTTCACAAGGTGCTAACAAGTCATGCCAACAAATAATTAGTAGCAGCCCGAAATTTTGTTAAAGCCGATTTAAATAAGGATTTTATTTAGAATTTTATATTTCAATCCGACCTTGTAATATCCTTAAACAGCCATAAAGTAAAGGCCCGAGATTATAACGTGGATGGTACTAAATCGTCCAAAAAGCGGATTTTTCAAGACCCTTTGTATATGAGATATATCAAATCTTGGTACAATCTACCCAGTTTTTGGTCCGTTTCTTTATAGGCATAAATAAATGTAAATTGCCAATTTTCATTGAATTTGGTTGAATATTAAAGATTATATAGCCCAAAATAGTAAAATTTTCAAGACCCTTTGTATGGGAGGTATATGTAATCTTGGTCCGATTTACCCAGTTTTTGGCCAGTTGCTTTAGAGGCTTAATTAGATGTAAATTACAAATTTTCATTGAACTTGTTTGAATATTAAAGATTTTATAAGCCAAAAAGGGTGACATTCTCAAGACCCATTATATGGGAGGTATACCAAATTTTGGTCCGATCTATCCAATTTTTTGTTAGTTGCTCTTTAGGCCAATAATAGTGTGTCGTTAAAACATTAGTGTGGCGTTAAACATTACATATAATTGGTCGAAGCCGAGGGACCTTCACGTGAAGCCGAAACCAGGAAGACAAAAATAGGTCAGTATTCCAAAACAAAGTGATAGCCATATCAAATACAGTCATCCTAATTAGAAAACTCAAATGGAAAGAACACTTACAGGAACGGGTCGGCAAATGCAAGGGTCAAATTATGAGTTTCGATATCGATACATTTTTATTGTACAATAAATTTCGATAGATCATGATTTCGATATCGAGGGATTTTAATTGGACAATAAATTTCGATACGATCATGTCCATGATGCAATAAGAAGGTGATGTATCAAAATAAAAACCTTTGTTTTTGTCTCGACCATATGTCAAATTTTTCCAAATAATATTTCACATGGTTGGCAAGAATGCACATCGAATTCAAGTAGAAGTTATGCTCTTTGACAGTTAATCGAGACATCAGCTGCGCTAAATGGAGTACCTATTTATTGTGCCATGGATGATACCTACTGTATGACACCGTCCGATCGGAATTGGTGAAGAAAAGTTATAGATTTTTATTCGAGAACAACATATTTTGTTGTTGAAGTTTGCTTATAATTATATAAAAACAAAGAGAAACTCATCGACCAATATAAATCTTTAAAAATTCTGAATTAAATTGTGTAAACATATTTATTCTCTGCAACAGTTTTTGTTGCATCTACCTTTTATATATGCCTTGTGTGCAGCCAAATATATAATTTATTCCGCGTTCGTGTAGAAAATAAATTTTAAAATAAAATGAATCCTTTATTATATTTATTGTCCTCTTCTGATACAACAAAAAACAAATTCGCGCACATAGTGATATTTTATCGTTGCCAGAAGCTGCGTATGATTTTTCAAATAAGTGTGTTGTGCATCAATATAATAATTTCTCATTAAAGATCCCGACAAAGGCGTTTATTTACGTACTTTCAAAATTGCATATTGATTCAGACCGAATACCTGAAATAAGAGTGGGCACATCATGTGAGACTATGATACTGGATAGAGAATCATGGGGTAGCGTAACACTAGTCGCAACTGGAACTTTTTATTAAAGAATCGCGAACCGAAATTTCACTTCGCCTTCCAGATCACAATACCGCTCTACAGGAGGAGGTTCAAGCTATAATAGACTGTCTAAAGTGGTTAATTTTAAACTCTGGCAAGGAAACAATAAACATAATGTCGGATAGTAAATAATAGTAAAAACAAAAAGTTCCAAAACTGTAAATTGTTAAAACCTTTGTGGGTACCGAGTCACACAGGAGTAATATGAAATGAGATAGCCAGTCTATTCGCTAGTGGTGCTACTGTCCTACCCCACAATACACGTGAATAATGTCAAACCTTTTAACGCAGCACATCTAGATATCTGGTCATGGACGGGAGAAATCCAATAAATTCATTGCAATAACGAGGGCACAAAAATTATGGGAAGATCCAAATGAAGATAAGACTAAGCAGATCCTCACGCTTAACAAAAAATAAATCAGTAGGCCGAAAGGTATTTTCTTAGGAGATTTCAGCCTCCAGGCACATTTATACAAGATTGGGTGAAAGGGAATTGACAGGAGTAGAGTTTGTGGGGAAGACAACGAAACGCTGGAACATTTCCCATGCCACTACCCAACTT